TCCGATGGCTACGAAAAGGTGAGGACCGCAGGGAAGGATCAACTGAAGGGAGCCAAAGAGGACTGCTGTTGTCCAACTGGGCTCCTTTAAAGAGCAAATAGATCAAAACCCATTGTTTTGTTTGTCTTCCCCACTCTTCTGCTACGCCAAAAGTGATACCCAAGGATCTTTTCTTGTTTTGGATCCACAACTGGTACGTCAGCAGGAGTTTCTTGTGTATGGGCACTGTATCTGTTGGATCCCGTTGGTGCAAAATTGCATCCATCAGAGGGCCAAGCACTGAAGCTTAGGGGATCCAGGTGGTAACCACGGACCAGGTGGTAACCAGTGGTTCCAAAGACTTCAACCAAAGGTTCCAAAGACTGTTTTTTAAGTGTCCTTTGTTTGTTGGCTGCCTGGGATCTGCTGGGAAATGTCACGCCTGTACTCTGGAAGATAGGAACAGTGGTTGCGTTTTTAGCCATCCACCTCATCCTTGTACCTTTCGAATCTGTGTCTGTCAGGCAAGGGGGGGGAAGGGGCAGGATGGCATCTTCCACGGTCTCGTGAAGCCATCTGACCTAAGGTGGAGTACGATGATCTCGACAAGATGCATCAAGATTATGAGGCATCGTCGGGGACCGACCGACCCAAAGGGGCCGGGCCGATGGGGTTTCCGGAGTCCGTTGGACTCGTGGGGTTTCGGGACTCGGCGGCCGAGGCGTTGAGGAACCAGTGTTTCTTTCGTGTTTTGGCACCTTGGAGATCCTTGGATCCGAGTGTTGCAAGTGAGAAGAGCCCTGAGGAATCCCCGTGGGACCGCGTTTTCTCGAACTTGGGGTCGTTGCTTGAGGTCTTCTGAACTCCGTGGGACTGACAGATCGCAGGAGAGCCATGCCTGCATGTCTCTTATAGTTGCTCCCCCAAACGACTGAGTTCTCTGTTTGGGCTTTGTTCTTACCAGTTGCCCCACAGCCTTCCAGTTCACCGGCAGTTCACCGGTGGTTGCCGGGATGAACCGGTGGTTTTCACTCCAAAACACTGCGCCAGATGTGACTAGTCACTTGTTCAATGCTGCGGTTCTTGCAAGGTCCATGGGACATGGCAGGACCTTGAGTGTTGGCTGGCTTCCGCCGTTTTTTTGGGGGGTCGTAGGAAAACCACATAGCATCAAAGAATACAGGTCGATCCATGTCGATCCGCGTGGGGTGGCCTGGACGCAGATTCTTCGATTCTTCGATCGAAGGGAAGAGGCTCAGGCTGAAAGAAAGGGTTCTGAGGTGAGATGAAGGCACCTTTATGTAGACTCTTGATCAATTCACCTCCCCCATTTGGATTGTAGAAGGTGTTCACATGGGAAGTTCGATGAATCAAGAGTCTACTGGTGACGGAAGAACGATACCGGTTCAGTTGGGAATTGACGATCCAGCTGGGTGATCGAAAGAAAACACGACTGTCAGTGTCTTTCTTCAATCAACAAAATCAAAGAACCTGCACCACGGCAGCAGTGCCAAATGTGTCTAGGGAGACCCCTGGAAAAAAGGAACTCGACCAGTCTACCCATTGGACCAAGGGGTCTCCCTATTGTACACACCCCAATACACACCTCGAACGGGAGCACCTGGCTACCCGAAACCGCCCGATGGAGCCGAAATGGCCGGGGCATGGGATGTCCGGAACAGCGTTTCCCACGCGGCGAGGCGAAAGCCAAGACCTCCAGCTGAATGAGCAGGAGGATCTCGAATTCAGTCTCACCGTTGAAAAAAAGGCAGATTCCAAGGGTTGCATAGGGATGGAGCAAACCAAATGAGGGTCGTAGTTTCATGTTGTGTCTAGACCTACAGTACCCATCCGCAATTTTCGCGATCCTTTTCCTGCCAATCTCTGTATAAAAGAAGTTTCCAATATTTTATGGTTCGAGGCTATTCACTTCAATACAAGGACGCACAAGGGTGGTTTGCTACCCCATGATGCATCATGATGCAACATCCAGCAGGTAGGCAGCAGACCGCTGAGCCCGTTGGATTCTCAGTTATAAGGTATAACTGTCAATATACGGGTTTGGACGGTGTCCCAAGGACCAAGACAGTAGAGTACTCAACAGCATCACTGAAAAGAGCAACTCCTAGCCGCTCTAGCCCCAGCGGCTCAAGGTTTTAGTATTTACCGACAGTCGGTGGTCATACCCGGAATCGTCTCCAAGGCTTCAGTGGTGGCGGACCTTGGTTTCGAGCAGCGTTGTGGCTCCCGAACGCGCAGCATACGACCTGTGCTCCAGATGAACTTCCCGAAGGGTTGCAATGCATATGACCCGACAAGGAATACGAACTCCTAATGCCAAAGAGGGGCCGGCTCCAGTCTATACTCCTTTGAGAACGCAGACAGCAAGCCATCTGGCACCTGGCTGCACGCCTTTTGAGAACAGCGCCACAGGCACACTGGAAAGCACCGAATCATGGGGAGGTCTTACAAACTTGTCAGCCTGGTGACACCACTCCCAAAACCCTCGAGTGTAACCACC